AGGAAGGGCGTAGAGTGTTGGAGTTAGCGGATGCACACAGCATGGTGGTGGGGGACACTTGGTTCACAAGGGAACCAGCGCGATTGATTACTTATAGGTCAGGGGAACATAGATCGATGATCGACTATATATTGGTAAGGGCCAAACATAGGAAGTATGTGAAGAATGTGAAGGCGATACCTGGTATGTTGCAGCATAGTATGGTTGTGATGGATGTGACATCAAAAGAAATGGGGAGGAGGAAGAAGGATAAGTTTGTGGCAAAGAGAAAGACATGGAAGTTGCAGGATGCAGAGGTGAGGAAGGCATTTGAAGTGAAGGTGGCTGAAAATTGGGAGAGTGGTAAGGATGGAGATGTTTGGGAGAGATACAGGGACTGTGTGTTGGCTACGGCAGATAAAGTATGTGGATGGACGAAAGGAAAGTGTAGGCATGGTGAGACGTGGTGGTGGGATGAAGATATAAGAAGGGTTTTGGAAATCAAGAAGGAGAGGTTTAGGGTATGGAGAAGGGACATGACGGAGGAAGCGGAGTCTGAGTATAGGAAGGCTAAGAAGGTTGCAAAACAGGCAGTGGCAACTGCAATGACGAAAGCATCAGATAGGTTAATGAAGGAAATGGAATCTGATGTGAGTTCGAGGAAAATGTTCAAAGTAGCAAAGCAGTCAATGAGGGATAGGAAAGATGTTATAGGGAATGGATGTGTTTGGGATGGATCTGGCAAGTTGTGCATAGATGAGGAGGAAAAAGCTCAGGTGTGGAAAGCTCATATGGAAAGGTTGATGAATGAAGAGAATGAGTGGGATGGAGATGTGGAATCCGCGGTCACACACGGACCTATAGAGAAAGTGACGAGGGAGGAAGTAGAGAAAGCAGTTAGAGAAATGAAACTAGGTAAGGCGACAGGGGTTTCGGAAGTGGCGGCTGAACATATTAAAGCGAGTGGGGTGATAGGAATTGAAGTTATGATGAGAATTGCTAACAGTATGTTTGATGATGAAGGTATACCTGAGGATTGGCGACACAGTGTGTTGGTGCCGTTGTATAAGGGCAAAGGAGATGTGAGAGATTGTAGGTCATACAGGAGTGTGAAATTACTAGAGCACGGAGTGAAGGTAGTGGAGAGGGTGCTTGAGAGGAGGTTGAGAAGTATGGTGACAGTTAATGAAATGCAGTGTGGGTTTATGCCTGGTAGGGGAACGGTGGATGCGTTGTTCATGGCGAGAATGTTGCAGGAGAATTATAGAAAGAAGAAACGAAGATTGTACATGTGTTTTGTGGATCTAGAAAAGGCTTTTGATCGAGTACCGAGGAAGGTCATTGAATGGGCGTTGAGGAAGAAAGGAGTGAATGAGAGACTTGTTAAAGCTGTGATGCAGCTGTATGAAGGGGCAAAGACAAAGGTGAGGGTTGGAAGGGGGATGTCGGACGCTTTTAGTGTTAAGGTAGGAGTGCATCAAGGATCAGTGTTATCACCGTTTCTGTTTGCAATTGTGATGGATGTTGTGTGTGGAAACATAATGGAGGGGTTGTTATTTGAGATTTTGTATGCAGATGATTTAGTCTTGATGGCTGATAGCATGGAAGAATTGCAGTTAAAATTTGACAGATGGAAAAGTGTTATTGAAAAGAAAGGGTTAAAAGTTAATATTGGTAAGACGAAGGTAATGGTGAGTGGGGAAGGTGGGGAACGAGTGATAAGTAAAATAGACCCCTGTGGGGTATGTGATAGGAGAGTGAAGGCTAACTCGGTATTGTGTATAGGATGTCAGAAATGGGTGCATAAGAGATGTAGTGGTGTGAGGGGGGCACTGAAAAAGGTGGAAGGCACGTTCAAATGTAAGAAATGTGTTCATGGTGTGATTAATAGGAAGGACGCAAGGACGGGGTTGAGTGATGGTATTGAAAGAGTGGAAAGCTTTGTTTACTTAGGGGATAAGCTGAATGCGGATGGAGGATGTTTGAGCGCAGTTACGGCTAGAGTTCGTGTGGGATGGATGAAATTTAGGGAACTGGGTGGGGTATTGTGTGGAAAGAAATGGTCAGTGAAGATGAAAGGGAGGGTATATAAAGCATGTGTGAGAGCAGCGATGATATATGGTGGTGAAACTTGGGTGTTGAGGAGAGAGGAGGAAAGTGTACTGCAGAGGGCTGAAAGAGCTATGGTGAGGATGATGTGTGGGGTTAAAGTGAAGGATAGGAGGAGTAGTACAGAGCTGATGTCAATGATGGGACTGAATGAGGACATTGTGACATTGATAAGGAGATCGAGATTGCGGTGGTATGGACATGTGTTGAGAAGGGATGAAAGGGTCGGGATTAGGCGAGCGTTGGAGTTCGAGGTTGAAGGAGTGGTAGGAAGGGGTCGTCCGCGATTGGGATGGAGAGAGCAGGTGGAGAAGGACAGGGTGAAAGCGGGGTTGCGTGATACTGAGGCGAGTGACAGATGTGGATGGAGTCGAGGGGTATTTCGGTTTCATCATAGGTAGCCAAACGGCAACCCCCGATCTCGGGGAAAATGCCGTCTAAACGTGTGTTGTTGTTGTTGTTATTATTTCGATTATTTAGATTATTATTTCTATTATTACTAGATTATTATTATTGTTATTATCAATCTATCCAACAACGCATCCTTGTTATAGTTAATAGTATCTTTATAATTATTATCATCGTCGTCATTATTATTACCATTATTGTAATTGTTGTTGTTGTTATTGTTGTTGTTGGTATTGCTGTTGTTGATGCTGATGTTGTTGTTGCTGCTGTTGTTGTCTCGTTAGACATGCAACCCATCATAGCAACGCGCACTTGACATTTAACTGCAGAGAAGAGACAGAGGGGCTGGTTTCCGAGGCAGTGTGCCAGCAGGAGCAGTGAGAAGTTCGATCTCCCGGCCAATCCACATCATCCACAGCAGCTTGAAACCCATCTCCATGGTGATGGTGATGACGCCGCTAATGGGGTTGACGTTGACATTGAGAGGTTGAACGTTGTGGCCGATGAAAAGTTCCTCAACAAAAAAGTATTATAGTGGTTATTCTCTACTCTCTTACACACACACACACCTCTCTAGTGTACGTACGGTAATTACTCTAGCGACAATAATCATTAACGTGAATATTAATAAAAATATTACTGTTCATAATGTTACTACTACTACCGCTACCTCTGCTGCTGCAGCTACTACTACTAATTCTGCTACTATTACTATTACTAATCTACTACTACTACTACTACTACTGATGCTACTACTATAACTATTACTACTAATCTACTACTACTACTACTACTACTACTACTACTACTACTACTATTACTACTACTACTATTACTACTACTACTACTACTACTACTACTACTACTACTACTATTACCTAAAAATAATTATTATTTATAACAGCTATAATGATAATAATTATAAAAAAAAAGAAAAAAGAAGAAAAAGAATAATGATTATAATAAATAATTTTATAAAAAAATACTCTTCCACACAACTCAGAGGAACAACCGATAGTAATAATAATATCATTATAATTATTTTTCTTAGGACATTTATTATTACCATTATATTTTATTATTATATTATTATTATTATTATTATTATTTGTGTTTTTATTACTATTTTTTTAAAACAAGTTTATTTCATGAAGCGTAAAAACGAAACATGAACAAGAAAATTATTATTATTATATTATTATTATTATTATGAGTATTATTATAATTATTATTATTGTAAATATTTTTTCTATTATTGTGGTTACGAAGAGGTAAAATCGATATTATATTAATTGTAATTTATAATTGTTTTTTTATGCTCCACTGTGGTTGCTCCATCTATAGGGTCTTGTACCCGCCAATAATATTATTATTTATTGTTTTTGATTGCTATTATTATCGTTTGTGTTGTTATCACTATTATTATTATTGTTGTTGTTGTTGTTATTATTACTATTATTGTTGTTGTTACCATCGTAACAGTCGTTACTATTATCGTAGTGGCGAACCATAGACGTTGAAATTCAGTTTTATAGTTTTTATATCTATGCTGATAATAATAAGATGAATAGCAACAATTATTGTTGTTGTTGTTGTTGTTGTTGTTGTTGTTGTTGTTGTTGTTGTTGTTGTTGTTGTTGTTGTTGTTGTTGTTGTTGTTGTTGTTGTTGTTGTTGTTAATGTCGCTCTCACCAATATTTGTCCTTGCGATAATGCCATCATGATTCAATTTCGAAAATCCTTCCTTATACCTTTCCACTTAATTCTACTTTTATTTAATTTTTTTTTAATTATTTATTTATTCATCGAATTATTAATTAAACCAAGGGGCCACATATCTGTTCATTTAGCATGTGAGCCAATGTGGACTAGTGATGCACCGAATAGTGAATTTGGTCAAAGCCGATGGCCGAATACTAAAATACCAAAAATTTTGTAAATAATAATATTTTGAAATGAATAACAAGATCTTGGAAAAACCAGTAGATGATTTATGTCAACCCAGCTATTATCGAGATAATATTCAATCTTTTGTTCAAATTCAGAAAATTGGTAAAAATAATCTTCCCGCTAATAATATTAAACAATCACTGTTCTAGAATCTAAAAAAGGGATAGTTTTAGCGGAATTTGCACTATTCGGTCTTAAAATGGACGAAGCCGAATGTCAAATTTTGGCCGAATCTTTTTTTTAATTTTTGTCTTACCTGCCAAGATTCGCAAAGAACGAGTTCAGACAGAAGTCGTATTGGAATCTATAACCGATTACAATATATTGCACACATTTGCTACGAACGTCATGTATTTTTTTGTTGAACAGTTTGTTATATTTTTAATACAATTTATGTTTGAATATACACTTTATAAGTACAAATTGACTCAACAATAATATATAAACAATAAAAACAACAATAAAAATAAACTTATAAGCGAGCACAGACGTACGACCGAATTATTTTAACCAATTCATTGAGTGACCGGAATAGGTATAGAGTGTTTTGTTTTCATTTTCCACGATGATGATGATGATGATTACCATAGCGATGCGGTGATGGTAACGATACTTTTACAATGTCGGCCTACCACTCAACTGATGTTAACAGCGTGTGAAAGTTTGCGTGTTTGCACAGGTGCCTTTGCCTAACGTGAGTCCCATGCGTCGATAGAATTTTATGTGTATGATATTTTTAAAATAAACCATTATCGCGGCGTTTTTATAGCACGTATAAGTTATTATTTTATTATTATTTATTTATTTGAAATATATTAATATATTAATCTTCTAAAAAATAAACGAACAAATCATGAATTTGCAAATGAATATAGTTCGCCTATCTAAAAAAAAGCATATGATTCAAAAAAACAATACAAAAATAAAATACAAATTAAATTAAATCATTAACGTATTATCATCAGTACCCTTTTTTTGAAAGCTCTAGATTAGCGTGGTTGATTATCGAGAAGGCGGTTTGATGAGATCATCATTGTCAACCAATCGTTTTTCTCACCTAGAAAGCCATTCAATCTTTATTATTATTTTGTCCTTTATGTCAATATTTTCTCGGGTTGATTGAATGTATCGATGCATTTAAGTATCGTTATAATCATACATAATTGGTTGGTTGAAGAACTTATGTATACAAATCATGATCGATAAGCTTTTGTTTTAATATATAAGCATTCATCGAATATAATTCATTGACGTGTACCAACCAATGAATGATAAAACTCTCATGAATTTCGACACAAATGACAAATGGCAGCGCTGAAATGAAATTTGATGAGACAAATCATTAGATGAATTGACTGAATAAACAATCATTTGACCAAACAACCGATCAATCATTCACATTGTGCAATATTGATATTAAAAACATGCGACGGAAAGTCTTACATTTAGAACAACCACCATCATTTTCGTTGTCAACATTTTGTGATATTTCGTTTGTCATCATCGTCGTCATCGTCATTTTCGTCACAAATTAATCACCTCAGGCTCACTCCCCTCGTCATCAATTTAAAAATCGCATGTTCATAACGAACCGTTGAATCAAAATTTAATTAAAATAAAAAATTGTAGAAACATCAGATGAATACGAAGCTCAAATGTTAATACATGGAACGAACAACACGAATATGCAAAATAAAAGAACATCCTACATGATGGAAAGCAGCATCAACGAAAATTTACCTGATGATGTATGTAATGATCAACTCAAAATATCTGCAGAACATTCAGAACATTTAAGCTACGTCAAAAAGCGCAATATTTTATATGTATGTAAATAAGCTTTTATATAGAAATATGTATATATAAATATATATATTTGTGTATATGCGAGTGTGGATGTCTCTTTGTGTCTCTTGGTGTGGGTGTGTGTGTCCGTGTGCGTGTGTTTTCTATGAATTTAATACTAAGCAAAGCTTCAAGTGAAAAAAGTAGAATAAAAATTAATAATCTTCAAGATTTTGTAGGCTGAACAGGAATACTTATACCAAAGTGTTGTCATGTAAACTTTTAATTCTATTTAGCGCAAATTTTTGTATGAATTTTTTATCAGCCATAAAATGTGAATTATATAGATCGTTAATTAGATCGTTTAAAACCTGAACAGTGCACAGATATGCGGTCTTTCGATGATTTAGTGTTTAAGTGAAAAGTCAGTTGGAACGGAAGTTTAAAAATGTCACATTGATTGAGTACTTGAAGTTCAACTCCAGCTAACTGGATATGCGTGAAGGTGCTAGCTTGGCATAATTTGAAAAATGCGAAATCGTGGAAAATGTAGCGGATCATGGTTTTAAAAATAAATATTACTTTAAAAAATACATCAAATAATATATAAAAAAATAAATATTCATGTTTTGTATTATACTAATATATATATATATATATATATATATATATATATAATTATATTATTTATATTTATTTATTTATGCGAGTTTAATTAAATCTGTAAGTTAATCTAGAGAAAATGAAAAGCGCTAGTAAGTCACGCCGACAAACATCATCACAACACCACCGTCATACTTTCATTACCAAATTCCATTGTGTGCAGTTTTCATCTGCTTCCTGATCATCTCTTTCTTTTCCTCCCCATTTTCATCTCATCACGGCAATAGTGTGGCTACCATCACCATGACCATGACCATCTTCAGAAGTTCAAACATTGTCAAACTTGAGGCACCGCTGCCTGGCACCTGAATATGAAAGATACATTTTATATCATTAACTTATAGGTATATAGTCAAATAATATATATAATATATACACACATATATATATATATATATGCATATATATATATATGCATATATATATATATATATATATATATATATATATATATATATATATATATATATATATATATGTTTACATACCGAAATAATATATGTGTGTGTGGTGTGTGTGTGTGGTGTGTGTGTGTTGGAAGGTGACCATATTTTATACAGTATTGAATTGTTGGCATAAATCAATTATTAAAGTTTGTCTTTTCAATTTTCCTTACTATAATTTTCTGGAAATTGTTAAATTTGTTGAAAATAGAATTATTATTCAATTCATCATAAGAATTTAATGAAAATGTTGTTATCCAAATTCATCATGCAGATAAGGCCTTATTTCGATTTTTCATAAATCATCTACAGTGCTGGTTTGGTTAATATTGTTTCTTTAAACAAAAGTTAGTTCTTTAGCCAAGTTATTAGTTAGCGTTGCATTTTTCATCTTTGTTGTAATTTTTTTGTCCTTCATTGTTATTAAAGTTAGTATTAAGGTGTCGAGTTGATAATGATGTTATCACTCTTTGTTGGATGTTTATTTGGAGTTTATCGATATCTATTAGGACAGCTACTGCATTTTTTTGATGTATTGTGTTGGTGTTTTGATAAATTATTTTTGTGTTTTTGTCAAGAATTTGGCGGGTTATTGGAGTTGCATGTGTCGATTGCAAGTGAGATTTGATGGCTCCTCTCTGTGTACGCATTGTGAGACGTCTTGATAGTGAAGTGGTCGTAACACCAATATACGAATGTTTTTGACGCGCACAGTCGTCAAAACTGTATATATTTATTTTTTTATTTTATTTTCTCAAAAAAGAGGGGTAAACTAAAAAGCAACCTAATGCTTTTAGGAAAGTCACCCTATCCGAATGAAATTAAAATTGATCAACATAAATTAAAGATAAATTAAAGATTAAAGTAGTTCAACAAGAATCAATGATTAAATTAGTTCGAAATAAAAGATACACGGGGAGTATATTCTTTAGTTATTACGATTGTTTCTATTATTGTTAATAATATTTAATGTAAAATAATCAAAACCTAACTATATACATATATATATATATATATACATATGCATATAAACACACACACATATATATATAATTGTGAATTGAATGTCAGCACATGTACATGTCAGCACATGTTTGTAAATACGAGTCACCACCTTCGCGTTAATGTTTGAGAAAGAGAATATTGCACTAGGCAATGTTTGCTTAAACCAACTGCCTAAAAGTTTGCTTAAGGTTTCACAAGTTTTAGTAAAAATTGTTTGATTATCCCATTAACTCTAATTAGCATACGTAAAAACGAATCGTTATTTAGAATTTAATCACAAATTATCATCTATGTGCACAGTTAATTTCATACTACGTTAGATATTTTTGACTCGAAAGGACTTCTAGTTCTACTACAATACAATGCCAAATCTTAATTATTCACCCAAATATTCTCCCATAATAAATTTTGGTTCAATCCAGTTTTTTACTACATCGATATTAACTAACTTATCATTATACACATCAGGAGCAAATCTAGACAACGTTGAGGGAATGAACATAGTTTCGAAAATGTTTAAATAAAACGGGTGGCCAAAATCTTCAAAAATTGCATGGCCCCCGGGTCATCCAAAATTCCCCACTGTAAATGTGTCTAATATTTTCTCTATTTTTTTTATGTTCTTCATCAATTTTCTCAACCGACGTTTTTAATCTTTTGTAACTTAGTGCAAATAGAGGCAGAAATTTGCTAAATATCGATAAAACTTTTTTTAAAGGATACATATTATTTAACCAGAGCCTCGAACGGGATCTAAGGCTTCGTTTAAAGACATAATCTTTTTCCAGGCTTTCAAATAAAAATTGTTAGTCACAAAAAACCCAAATTCTTTAATGTCACACAGATAATAATAGAAGGTCGAATAAGAAGAAAAAAATAGAAAATAAAAATTCTAATAAATTTATTGCGCACTAAATTTTATTTTCTCTGAAGCAGTGAGATGAGCAATTCAAAAACTTTTTGGCGTGCCATTAAATCCGAAGTAATCAATGCAGCTCAAACTTCATAACATGCGAAGAAAACAATGATGTTGCGATGCGCAAAAATGACTCCTACACAATCCTATAACTATAATTACGCGATACCCAATACTGAATATTTTATTTTTAACTCCAAAATGAGCATTCTCAGGTACATAACATAACACAACAAAAAGCTCGCACACACGTGATTGTACGCGAAAACATCACAAGCCTGCTTTTTATCGTACAGCTCGTTAATGAAAAAAATGCAGGGATGGGTGCTTAAGTGCCGAGCTAAAAATAAACCGGCAGTCTCTGGACGTATGATTGATCACTAAACGTAGGCCGTTCATCACCATAGATTAATATATTTCATACCCACTATTTTATCCTCATTGTTGTCAATAAAGACTTAAGCATCGTAAATAATATCACATTATTCTTTTTTCTAAATTTAACCAGCATCTAGGAAACGTTCGAGTTCCTGCTGCCCTAAGCGTTTGTCATTATATTATATTTTATTGAAAGCCTTTGCCAATCGCCCAAATCTGAACTGTTAGAATCAGAATATCCCTGCACCAATTTTAATGCATGTGTGACGTCCTAGCTCACGTTGGTACTGCTAGTAATATTAACAACATGAAGAATACACAGCGCAATACCGGTATAAAATACAACGATAGTAGATGACGTGTGACGCCATCAAAGTCCAGTTCAGTTTAAGATCTCTTGTTTCGTTCTATAGTGTTTTACTTGTCAATGAAGAGAAGTTACATCCAAATATATCACATGCGAGTTTACAAAACATTGAGGTTAACAAATATTTTTACAGACTGCCAACTTAAAGGATAAAGATGTCGATGGCTCACTTACTAACTCTGAATTAAATAACTTAAATTTTGCAGAAAAATCAACTCGGATTCAGAGAGAACTGCAAAGAACCAGCATTATTTTCGGTGATTTTCTCTTAGATTGTGTTAATTTAATCAGCAATTTCTGTTATTAGCTGATCGTCAAACTTAATGCATATATCACCACCTTGAACGTTTAGAAAAATTCCAGCAGGGTCCAAGAAAGTTTTGCATTCTCTACCACAAAATATTTGTTGACGAGGTGCAGTTATGACAAAACTGTGATGGATGGGGGCGTAAAGTGCATGATTAAAAACTATATTTGATCACTTGTAAAAAAAGGTATCGAATGAATACGTTCAATTGATTGATAAGTTTTCGTAGCCAATTGATTAATAAGTTAGTATGCTGAATGATTAACTGGTTTAAAAAGTTATTTGACTGGTCTGTTAGTAAGTTGGTTGGTTGGTAAATCTATTCAATGTACGGATTTAATGAGTTAGACCTAGAAAAGATGGTGGCTTCCCGATAAATTTGCAACGTATAAGAGTATTTTCAGGTCAAGTTGTATGAATAAATTAATGAATGAAAGAAGTAATGAATGAATGAGCTTTTAAGTTTCAAAAACAACAAATAACCTAATTATTTTATCGATGTCGCTAGATAAATTTATATGATTGATTAGTAAATGATTAACGAGTTTGTTAATTAGTTGAAAATTTGAATTAGTGACGGGTTTATTGATTGGTTTACTGATTTAATGTACAAGTTAATAATAAATCATTAAAATTATTTAATTGAGGATTAGTAAGTTGGAGGTCATTAACTTATAATTGCTTAGTGGATTAGTTCATCAAAAAATATTATTACAAATTATATAAGTTGAGTTATTATCGCTTCATTATAGGTAGCATCTATGAAATACAAATAAAGAAGTTTTTGATTGTGCTTGCATGTGTGACATACTCCACTAGCATACCTACTTGACAATCTGTTCAACTTTATATTAGACTTTAAAATTGCAATCTAAGAAGTATTAGAAATAAAAAGATCAAATGATTTATTGAAGCAGATGTTGCAAGATGTTAGATGTTGGAATCAATAGCATTAAACCGACAAGCAAGAACTACAGAGATGATTACTTTTTATTATATAATAATAATGGTATTGCTGTGTTGTCAATAATTGAAAATCTAAAAAAAATAATTATTATTGTCGTGTCTTTACTAACATACAATATATGTTATTTTTAATTCAATAGTCTTATAACAAGTACGTGATATCTACAAAAAATTTGCGTATTAATAATACAAGTAGAATACATAGATATATAAACTTCAAACAGTCAAAAAACACAAAATTATGTACTACATGAACACATACAAAAATATAGTACAAATAAATATACATTTAACATCACATGAAGAAACACATGACTGGAGGCCCGCACTTTATAGCCATTTATGAGAATGATCAAAACGTATGAGACAGGAATAGAAATATAGTAGGAGTAAAAGTCAAATAATGACGTGATGACAAAAAAGTGTCATGAAGATGATGGTTAATAAAGCAAAATAATGTTAAAATGAGATTACCTAATAATAGTAATGAGGAAATTTACTATTGTATTTGTATGTGATCAAAAAAAATACATCAAAGATCATCATGGAATGAATGATCAGTATCGACGTCTTCATCATCATCAACAAAAACTTCATCACCTCTATTATCAGCTCCATCATCGTCATCATTATTTTTTCCATCAACATATAAATCAACAATAAAATCATCACTTTCATCTCTAATCCCACTATCCCTACTACTACTTTTATCCACGTCATCATCATCCTCCTCATCATTAATATCACCACCATCCCCATTAAAAACCCCACTATCATTTACTTGGCATATCATATTGAAGTTGCAGTTATCAATGTATCTGGAGTAGTACTGTCGTAGGTCGTTGTACTCGCAGAAGCTGTTGTTGCAGAGAGGCCATGCGATTGGATGCTCCTTGAAGAACAGTTGCAGGTACACATTATCACGGTTGTTGCTGTTGGCATCGCCACACTGATGCAAAACAAAGGCAACGTTTGAAGCAAATGGTGAAACGCGAGTTGCACGAAACAAACGATTCTGCATCTGATCGAAGTTCTTGTCAGTCAGGAGGGGGTCCTCCTTGAACAGACCCAAGATGTTCAACAGAGGGATTATTGTCTCGGCATGGCTGAAATAAAAACTGCCCTTTGATGAGCTAATGAAAAAAAGTTATAATTAAGAATTACATGATTATATTGTAAAAATAAATGAAATATTACACATGTTTATAAATTTGTGGCAGAATAGAAGAAAAAAATTATTAAAATGTCACTGCAACAGTTAATAAAATTGCAGGATTGTCAAGAAATAAGATGCTAACTGTTAAAAATAGCTGACATGAAAAATCAACTAACTTTTTGCCACTCAAAACATTTTCAAACATTTGAAACATATCAACCAGCAGCCCACAACTCTGCTCATAACTTAAGCTGTGAGCAGGACCTTTACTCCAGTAATTCTTTGCAAAAAATGAAAATAATTTCATTTTTAAATCTCATATCAGAAACTGAAAACAAAAATAAAATAATATAAAAATAAGGATACTTTTAGATCACTGGCATATTCCAGAATGTTTCTAACTCTTTCATTTGTGAATTTCAACCAAGATGATGTGTTAAGTACACTTAGTTCAGTAGCAGCAATTATGAAATAGGAGAGCATTTCACCTGTTTTAGAGAACCACAAACATTAATTATTATAGTGTTGTAAATGCATTCTATAATAAAATTTGAGTGAGTGTAGTAATTGATACAGTTAATCTTAATGTTTAATTTAATGATTTAATGCAAAACGAATAATTTAGTTTCTTATCAATTTTTAAAATAATTCAATATGACATTACTTTCTTCTAAAATAAAATCAGGTTGTTGCATTAAAGTAGCAAATGCTGCCACCAATTCTCTATCCATTTTTTGCATGAAGGTAGAAACAACTGCAGTGTTTGTTTTGTTGTCTCCAATTTCTTTAATGTATTTTGTACATCTGTCAAAAAACCTTAACAAAATATCATTTTCAACTGGTGTGGTTGTAAGATTCTTTCCAAGTGCCTTGTTAAATCCATCAATGAATCCAAGATAGCTTGATTTAGTTCTTGATTTACTTGTTATAACAAAATTTAAATCTTTTTCGTTTACATTTCTAAAAAAGTCAGTGAAATAGCTAAAAAAAAACACTCCGATACTTTCTAACTCCTTCCTTCCACTCTCTGACAACTCCTTTTCTTCATGATTTTTAAAAGCTGTTATGACGCTTTCAAGCTGCATTTTGATGGGTGGATTTGTAACTTTTTCTACAATTTTTGAAGCCTTCAAAAGATCCTTGGCACTTGGATATCTAGTTCCATGTCTGAAATGCCCAAGAACATGCTTGACGGAGGATTTCACGCAAATATCTGGAATGATTCTCTGCTGGGAAGGGAAGTATTCTTTTGAATCCAGGTCAACAGACATTCTGTATGGAGTTTTGGAGGCCAGATGATAATTTTCCACACTTACAACACAAACGACGTTAAAACTAATCGCAATAACGATAATTGCAAAAGCAATCAAACTCATCATTTTGCCGCAATCGTTAAAGAACTTTAATAAACCGGACAAGAAGCGGCCAGCCTGATAACGACCACTTGGGAGCTTACGAACGATGGAAAACGGTTTTACTTTCTATTTATAGTATGATATATATATATATATATATATATATATATTCAATACATATATGATAATTATATAAACAATTATATTTATATATACATCAGCATACATAAATACATACATACTAAAAACATATATATATATATATATATATATAAATATATGAATGTGTATACATTCTAATGCTATATAAATGTAGCCTATATTCTATACCATGGACCTTTTACACATATATATGTATATATTACATATTAAAAGGATACAAGATTATATTAGATATTAAAAGGATGCTAGATTATATATATTATAGATTAAAGCTTATTATATTATTATATATTATAGCATATTATATGCATGACGATTTAATCTGAAAATACATTGTCACCGGCGAGTTCGTACTACCCATAAGCAGTGTTGTATAGTAATCGGATTACAAGTAATCCGATTACGTAATCGATTACATTTTTTTGAATCTGTAATCGCATCATTTATAAAAGTAATCTGTTATCTGTAATCAAATTACATTTTTTGTGTAATCTGTAATCTAAACAGGTGTCACGATTACCTTATTTTAGATTACTTTAACGACAACAATACCTAAGATTTTTAAAATTTAAAGTTAAAAAACTAAAAAAAAGACTTATTCAAAAGAAATAGTTTATCCATTGACGTCGTATGTTTTTTAATTAGACCGCCCACGTAATGTTAAAAAGTAGTTGGTCTGCTCAAGGACGTTATGAAGCAGGATAAGCAAAGTCGCTTCTGGTTCAAACTTGTTTGAAATTGCATGAAATTTAAAAAAAATGCAATTTTTTAAATTATTTTATGAATAATTACAATTTAATAATTCAATAATTCATAAACCTATGTGACATTCATTAAATAAAATTCTAATGATGTAATCTGTAATTTCAAAGTTTGATGATGTAATCTGTAATCGGACACATCATTGCAAAGTAATCTGTAATTTGTAATCTCAAGCTAATTTTAAAAGTAATTTGTAATCAGATTACTTTCCAAAAGTAATCTATACAACACTGCCCATAAGCTCGTATTTCGTATGTTAATAAAATTTTCATCGAGCTGTCGTGATATGCATGCAGTTTACTTTGTATTCGTTCGATTTAAATATAATTCATATGAATTCAAAGATCTGAAATTAATAAATTTTCAACAAATATTTTTTAAATTGAAATCTTTTTTGACTACATCTGAGGCAGTACGAGAAATTTAAAATTTGTCCTTTTATTTTATGCCCTGTGTTCTTGCTTTTTCTCTATTACATAGGTTTAGGTTGCCTGTCTCCTGTCTGGATATTAAAAATATTAGGATTCACCTTGTCTAACTGGTTTATGGTTAAATTCGCTGACAGTACTTGGCGCCCTCAGTTACCCAGCGCCCTCTTGTGGCGTATGACTGCCCCTTACTCCTTGAAAGTCGTGCCATCAAAGTTTCTTTAAAATTACTGTAGTTAGGCATTGGGCATTTCATGTTTGAAATGCATTGGGAATGAGTTAACTTTGTTTTTTTGCGCCTATAATTCTATAATTAATTAACTAATTAAATAAATCTCTGATTGACGGAAAATTTAACAAAAGAACACAGATTTATTAAAAAAATCTAAAAATAATCAGTTTATTATTTTGTTTAATGCCTCACTGTCCCAAATTGGATTTCCTTTATTTATAGAGTAATCAAATTTTAATTATTTACGACCGTTAACCTACTTATTATAATTAGATAGAGGCACCAAAATAACTGAAAACCGCGAAATTCGATTTATTTTTCATTGCATTTTTAAAGAGAAAAATACATCTGTTAGCGGTTTAATAACATTATAAAATAACATGACAATATAACGCTGCAAGGGCAAATATAACATACAGAACAATTAATCAAAATTTTTATATGGTATTTATATTATAAGTCCAATGAGCTTCAGTTATAACCAGAATAAAACCTATAAAAGCATGACGGCCTGTTTGACATATTCCCCTCATCACCATTATCATTTAATCATTGTTCTCATCACTCTTCTCATCTTCATCGTCATCCTATTCACTCACTATCATCATCGATACTGTTGGCCTCAATATTATTAACTCGATAAACCGACCAACCAACCAACCGAATGACTGACTGACCAACCAACCGACCGACTGACCAATCGACCGACCGATCAACAAACGAATCAACCAGCTGCAACATTATGACGACATGCAAACACTACTAACTATAAAAAAATGCCTGAATATTAAACATTGCATGCATAGACAGACGATAAACTTTAAAATGTTAAACAAGTAACTGCCAACAAACAAACTTAAAATGTACGTTAGAGCCTTCCAGTCTGATATGTAACATTACAATACAACATGGCAATACTGATGGTTAAATAAATGTCTACTGAACGTTAATTTAAACTAAAATGTCTAAAAATTATGAGGCATCAGTCAAATGATGAGGAATTTAAATGCAAACAGGGCCCAATAAGGGTCAATTTAAATAACCAACTTGACCACCGTGTTACATGTTTATCACCATTTAACTAATTAATTATTTAGTTAACAATTTAATAAATTAAATAAATAACTAAATGAACTCATTTACCCTAGCGGAATATAAAAGAAAAAAAAAATATGAAAACCTCCATCATGTTACAGGCATGCAATCATACACTCTCAACGCCAACAGCAATACAATCTTGTAGAATATATGTATATATATATATATATATATATATATATGTATATATATATATATGTATATATATATATATGTGTGTGTGTGTGTGTGTGTGTGTGTGTGTGGATTTATTTTTTCATATATAATTTCAAGAGAGGTTATTGAAACGTTATAAAAATGGAAATATAAGGCAGGTTGGGCGGCAGTTGAATGATATAACGAATATAACGAATCCCGCGTCAAGAACGAAAGAAAATTTTAAATAAATCAAAAAGTAAGCTGCTAATAAATTATTATCTGTAAACTGAAAGTGTAGACAAAATCATCATGTTAACTACTGACACACCGACTAAACCATGGCAAGTAAAATAAACAGTATCCAAATTTTCAGACCACGTGCGATTGAGTATTCATGCGTCTATATGAAATTTGTATACGTATGATTGTACAATGTAGATATGTATGCGTACGTATATGTGCATTGATATGCGTATGCTTAGGCGTATACGTCATTGCTGTTTTAAAGACGTTTCCTTGAGAAAACATTCTTTTTTGGAGTTTTTTTGGCGGGAATAGAACAGGAGTTAGTTTCAGAGCTTGGCGTCGTCATCTGGAGTTCTGAAAAATATTTCAGCAAAATATTTGAACAGTTCTAATGCATTCGTGGCCATTGACGTTTATTATATCGCAAGTGTTTTGAAATGCAATTCAATAAAAATGCAACGCATGTGCTTCAGACTAATGCTTGTAACATTAATTTATTCAAAATTATTAAAACAGAAACCATTGAAAAGACAGGTACGACAATGAAAAAAAAACTGACCAGACGGTGGGTTGACTCTCTGTTCGTCCAAGCGATGTGATTGGAGATTTTGTATGAGTCCGAAGAGTGCATCGGCCTCGTCCGGCTCCAGGACACCACTGTTGCCGCACGAAGATAGCGAAGAGAACGTGCAGTTGTGCTGATGTACTGGCGATGGCTCGATGCTGCGTTGGTTTTCCATACGATTGCCCTGCGTACGTGTACGTGAGTGTGTGCGTGTACGATTGCCTTGCGTACGTGCACTTGAGTGTGTTCGTTTGTGTGTGAGTTGTATGTACTGTGCTGTGCAAGCGTACATACTACGGCCATTGAAAATTACTAGCGTACGTGGATGTCGGCGTGAAATGTGCGCGTGAATGTGTATTAATGAATACATGATGTTTGATGATTTAATTTGATGTGAGATGATAACAAACATTTGTTCATTCATTCGATTATTCATTTTTCTGTTTGTTTGTTTGTTTATTTGTTTGTTCGTCCATTCATTCACCTATTCTTCCTATCATGCACTTGAACGTTAACCCATAAATTCATCGATTCAATAATTCACCATTTCATTAATTTATTGATCAATCAATTAGGTCTCCCAACAACTAACTTGCACTTTCATAAGTATGTTCATTATGTCGTTCAAACTTTCCGTCATCAAACGATCACTATCAATACTACTTTTATTATTATTATTTTTATCGTTACTATTATTATTACTGCTGTTATTATTGATGCTGTTGTTATTTTTCTTCTTATGGAAGACATCTCCCAAAAATCCAGGCAACCTGATAGAAGGTCTTCTGATGAATTTTTGTGGTTGCTGCTTGTTTGGCTGCTGTTGCTGCTGCTGTGGCTTAGGTGGTTGCTGCTGCTGTTGTTGCGTTAGTCCAACGGAAGCAGTTGTTGATACGGAGGAGGACGATGATTTGGAGGAAATGGAATGTGAGGTGTCTGCGATGTGAGTGCATCATGTGATGGTAATGAGGGTGATGATGATGACGATGGATTAAGATGATAATAGTGATCATGATGATGATGGATTATGATGATGATGATGACAATAATGGTGACGACGGATGGTGATAATGATGATGATAATGGTGCTGATGATGACGATGATGACGGATTATGATGATAATGGTGATGATGGTATCAATATCATCATTAGTGACAGTGATATTGAACATGATAAAACCCAACAAACACAACAACAACAACTTCACCATCAAGTAAAGTGATGTTAATAATCAAAAATAATTGACAGAACAATAATAACAAAAAAATTGATAAAAAAATAACAACAGCAACAATAATAACAACAACAACAATAATAATAATAATAACAACAACAACAACAATAATAATAATAACAACAACAATAACAATAATAATAATAAGGTATAAATAAAGAAAAATAGAAGCACTGACATCCCTTTTCCATTCCGAGGTACGATGACCGCTGGTCGTTCAACCTTCTGCTCTGGCATCTTGTCAAGATCTCGCATAGGTCGTCATCTCCTCCCTCCTCCTCCTCCTCCTCCCCATCATCAACTTCCACAGTCGCCAAGTTGACGCCGGTCACGTGATGTCGTGACGTCATCGCCGATTGGTTGCGAGACGCGCTACGAGGACGCGCCGTCGGTCTCTGCTGCGGGCTGCTTGTGTCGGCGCTGCTTGTCTGTCGTCGGTTGTTGCGTTTCATCAATGACGATCATCATATCATCATCGTCGCCGTCAATACAATCAATCTAAAAAAAATGTCATCCTATCATCTTCGTAATCATATTCTCTATAACCTTCATCTGTCATCACCACCAAAAACATTTTATTATCATTAACGGAAGCAATGCAATCGCTACCCTACCATCACCACCATCTTCATCATCAACCAACAACACAGTCACCATCATCTTCATCATCAACATCACTCACAGCTTCAAGTCTGCTGTGCATCTTCTGTTGCAGCCTCTTCAGCTTCTTGCTGGCTTTCAATACACTACCATCGGCAGCAGAAGAGAACACATTATTATCATCATCAACGTAATTATTATTATTGTTGTTGTTGTTGTTGTTTTCATTGTTGTCATTCTTCTCAGTGACATTAACATCGGCGTTGTTGACTTGAATTTTTTTCGAGGGCTTCTTAAATTTACGACGTTGCGTAATAGCAGAAGTATCAGTTGGGGTAGAAGTAATTATATTATTATTATTATAATTGTTATTATTATTATAATAATAATTATTATTATCATCATTATTATTCCTTATAGTAGTACTATTCGTTTCATAACTAGTAGCTATAGAAGTGGCAACAATATTCCCGTTCATGTTGCAAATAGTAGTAATAGCAGTAGTAGCAGCAGCATTAGTAGTTGTTGTTGTCGTCGAAGATCGCAGAGGTAGTTGTAGTTGTAATGTATTCAAGTTACTCATTTCCTCATTGACATCTGCACCTTTGTTGATGTTGTTGCTGCTGCTGTTGTTGCTGCTATGACCTATGTTGTTAGTGTTTTTTGGTCTTATGGTAGTATTTTTTGCTTTACTGTTACTGCTATTGTTGGCAAAGTCGTTGCTATTGTCGTCATCAATGTTGATGTTGTCATCAATGTTGTTGTCAATGTTGTTGTTGTTGTTGTTGTCATCAACGTAGTTACTATTTTTAATACTATTGCTGATTTTCTTATCAGTTTTATTTCTATTACTGTCACTGTTATTTTTTGCGTTGTTTGTTAAATCGTTGTTGTTGTTGTTGTTGCAACTGACTGTTTTATGTTGAGGTAGATCGTTCCTTTTACAAGCTTGAATATTTTTCAGCAAAATTGGAATGAAGTCTATTTGAGAAATGTCATCATAATCATCGCCACTGCCATCGTCATCAAAATCATCATCATCACCATTATCATCACTATCATCATCATAATCGTCGTCATCTGACTGAATAGTTGAATGATCTAAATTGTTGTTGTTGTTGTTGGTTTGTTGTTGTTTTGTTCGGTGTGGTTGTTGTTGATGTTTTTGTGGTGAAAGTTGTTTTGATGGCAATTGTTGTTGTTGTCGTAGCTGTGATGTTTGATGTTGTTGTTGCTGTGATGTTTGATGATGTTGTTGTAATGTTCGTGTTTGTTGGAATGGTCTGTCAAATTGTTCTTCCGATGTTGGACTCTTACAGCTGACTGAGATCACATCAGCTGACTGTAGTTAATGATGACAATATCATCATCATCATCATTATCATCATCTTCTTCCTCATCATCACCATTCTAATCGTCATCACGATGATCATCAATATTTTAATCATTAAAATGGTAGCAAGCATCACTTGCATATACAGAATTTCTATCGTCGAAACGATCTCGACAATCTGTACCATCACCACCACCACCAAAATCATCATCACATTCATCATCCCAATCATCATCTCAATCATCTTCTTCACAGTCACCATCGGTGGCGGATCTGGAAGGGAGGGGGAAGGAGGTGGTAAGCCCCCTTCAAATTTATAAATTTCAACATTTTTTAAATGTTGATCCCCGTCAATTGGTCATGACCGCCAGCACAGTTTCCACGACCATGACCATCATCACAACCCTCACTACCACCACCCCCATTGACCACCACTCCCACCACCATCAGCAGACCTGACTAGACGATAGTTGATAGTAGCAGTTGTAGCAGTGTTGGGCATTGTCAGGGTCCTCCATCCTGCTGTACACATCACTCAAACTCCACCACGCTCTCATCTCCCCCATCTGCAATGAATGATGAAGATGATACTGATCATGATCATAGTTAAGACGATGATGATGCCATGATGGTGATTTTCAGAGCGGACAAATTACCACATTACGGTAATACTTCGAAAGACAATCAATTGAAGACAGAACCATCTTCAGGGTTTATTGCGATGACCATATAAATGGATTCTGACCTATCAATGAAGAATCATATAAATCAACTTTGCCGTCGATGTTCCCACCAGCTGCACAAAATTAGACCCACCAGACGTCATCTGACTGTTGAATCATAGAGGACGCTTGTTTGTAGTTTAAATGGACGGAGTGAAAGAAGGTTCTCAGCATCGTGAGCACAACTTTGCAATGATCTAACCGTAGAACTAAAAAGAATTGACAACATAACCCGAACGATTTTCAAGAAGTGTTAAAAATCCATCTGCTAAACAATCCATAGTGAAACTAGCGCTTCTGAGGTTCTTTCGTGAAAAGCGCTATATTATACAACACAACCGAAACACAACACAATACAACACAACTGATAATGAGATGCATCAGAGGTACCCATCGAATTTGTGCAGAGAAACATGATTGGTTGTGGTTGAAAGGATTTGGGGTCCGGCAGGTAACACTGGAAAGATCAATAATGACTGACCAAACAATCAACCAACCAATCAGCTAATCAACCAATCAGCTAATCATAATCAACCAACCAACCAATCAGCTAATCAACCAACCAACCAACCTTATCTTTGAGTAGTTTGGCTAGCACGAGATGTTCTTGGTGGTACTTGAGAGACACCTTCAACTTTCCAATCAGTGAATACGCATTACCTTGTATGACATTGTCATCCTCACTATCATAATCACCATCAACATCATCATATTTGTCATCACCACCACACGTTCGTCATCATAATTATCATCGTCATCATTATCCATAGAATGATGAGAACAAAATTACCAAAAAGAACATTTATCAGACCACTACTCTTATGACATCATCACTAGCAATACAATAACAAAAATCATCACCATCACCATCATCGTCACCCTCACTATTATCATCACCATCACTATCACCATCACCATGGCAACAACCTAAGTTATAATGTGCCTGTGCTTCCATCGCTTTATCACCAATCTGCTGAGAGAGGGTGAGACAGGCCCTGCATGTGGTGAGTGAACGAATAAACAAACAACCCAAACATGCAAACACACAACACCGACAAACACAAGACAAACAAAAAACAAAACACAAGCAAACAACATAAACAACACAACACAAACAAACAACACGAACAAACAAACTAGACACCAACTAACTCATAATGTGTAATGGCAGTTTGAAATCGTCTACTGAATATGCAACAGTTGCCCAAATTCGTGTGCGCCCTCTTCTGGGCCTCCAGGTCTCCATGCAGACATGCCAACTTCAACCTCTGTCAAATTAATTATTTCACGTTTATCTTACCTATTAATATCATATTTTTTTCACAATTTTTTCTCCGCCATTTTTAGAAGACACTTTCACACACACACACACACACACACACACACACACACACACACACACACACACACACACACAGAGAGAGAGAGAGAGAGAGACAGAGGGCAGGTGAGCATGCGTGAATCAATGTTGGATATGACAGGTGCGGATCCAAGTATTCCAACCCAGTCACTACAAAAATCAGACACTTGAAACCATCTCACTGCTTATAATGAATGATTATTATCATTACTACCATTCCAGCTATTACTATCATTATCATTACCACCATCACTACTGCCACTGTCAACGTTATTGGCTGCAAAAAACACAGCCACTGACTATTAGCACTATTGCCACTACTACCACTACCAGCACTGCCCTCACCATCACCATCATCCTCATCACCATCAACACCACCACCTGACGACCTTCTTATGGTAGAGGATGGCTTCCTTGAACTCGCCCAGGAGGTAGAGAGCATTGCCAACGTTACCATAGCAACGACCCAACAACGATGAGTCCTCCTTCACTTGCTTCGACGCCTCGATTGACAGTCTGTTGGTGCCATGATGATGATGATGGTGGCGATGGTGATGATCGTGGCGATGATGATGATGATGGTGATGATGATGGCGACGATGGTGGTGGTGGTGGTGATGATAGCGATGATGATGATAGTGAAAATGATGATGACGATGATGATAATGGTGGTGGTGGTGGTGAAAACGACGATGACGATGATGACGATAATCATCGCAATATAATCTTGATGGTAAATAATAATAATAATAAGTTAATAAGATAATAAGTTAATAATAATAATAACAAGAACAATGTTAATAATGATAATTACAACAACAATGATAGCAATAATGGTACTCGAAATAAAAGTCACAATGCAGTCACATAACTGATTAGAGTGAGATGAAATATAAATCTCAGTGTGGTGTGACGTCATCAACAACTACGGAGATATAAAACTATCATCAGTCGATTTATAGCTAGCATGAAAGATGCAATATGAATAATTTAAAAAAACTACTTGTAATTATGGATAGCTTGCAAGAGGGAGTTGTGAGTTCGGCCCTGAACTTCAATTTCATTGACTAAAGACTGCTTGGCAACTGCATAATGTACGTTGCCAGTGTTGTAGTAGGCCTTGGCTTCTCCTGCCTGTTCTCAATAGCATGTGATCGGTTGATTGATTGATTAATTGGTTGATTGACACATTGGTTGGTTAGTTGATTGATTGTTTGATTGATTGATTGATGATGATGCAATCCATTATCTTAATGATGATCATGCAAATAACATTAACAAATAAACAGCATCGACAAACAACATCAACATACCACATCAACAAACAAGCAACAGTCAAATAACAACATCCACCAACAAACAACCCCAAACAACTTTAGCACACACAAACAAGCACCAACAAACTTCAATAAACAACAACAAACAACTACAAACAAACAGCAAACCAAGTCGGCAGTCTCCTTATAAATCTTCAATTGATGTTGGCAACATGCAAATGCCTCTTCAAACAGGTTTAATGCCTTCAGCGCGATGCTCAAGTTGCTGTAAGCCTTGCCCTCATTGGCTCGATCTCTCATCATCCTGTGATGTATGACGACGACGACAATGATGATGGTGGATGGTGAAATGTTTGGTTTCTTATGCTTTATTGCGTTGAGTGTGTTTAAAATTGCATCAAACATATGATTAGGTGCTGTTAGATGCTGATTTATATTACCACCTCAATTTTATATTTATGTTGTGGAATGAAATTAGGCCATTTTTAGTGAAACCATTGTTATAATTACGTATGTCAGTTTGGATTGTTGTATTAGTCAATTAAAATACAAAAATAGACTTAAACCTGGCCAAGTTGAGATCATAGTTGTAATATTTGAGAGCTTCTCTATACTGGTGTAAAACGAAATAAGCATTGCCCAGTTCGGTGTAGATGGCACTCAAGGTATCAAGGTCGCTGGTACCAACTTGCAGGGCTGTCTCAAACAACTGGACCCCACGTTTGCAGTCACCCTGCCCACAAAAACGTTCACCTTCTAATGCCAGTTGCAAACATGTTTTTTGAAGTTCACTCGTGCTCTCCATTGCTGGGATTTACTTGCATGTGCCCACAAAAATAAATCAAACTTTCAAGATTATCTTTGTGTTAATATTATGCTATTAATTATTTATTATGTGATTATTATAATATTATTATGCTTAGTTTGTGTTGGACTAAGACCTTAGCACCTAGCCTATCTAGACTTACTTAGTAGTTAATTAAATTAAAGTACTACTGTACTGCAAGTAATCACTACTTTTCTTATTTATGGTACTTACTTTACCAATAATAATAATAATAAATAAAACAAAGTTAAGTTAGATTTGGTTGGATCGATAGAGGCTAGGTTTTTTTATGTTTTATTCTTTATTTTATTGTTTTTTAGAAGTCTGTCATACTTTATTTATTAATTTTATATTAGTTAATATTAATTTTAAATAAACTAATTTATCTCTATACGTATAGTTATATTTACAAAAATTTAGAGACGCAAACGTTCCCCCAGTCAGTGACTTCCAAAACATCGGTAGCACGCGATTCCAAACAATTTTTTCTTAAAAAACCGTTCACTTTTAATAACTTATTTATTTTAAAAAGCCATTTAAATTAAATCATCGTTCGAACATGCGCGCAGAGGTAACAACACCGAACAATCCAGGTGGGCCGAATTATTTTACTTTTTCAAACAATTATGAGATATAAATAAATATATAAAAATTATTTTAATAATTTTATTTTTATATTTATTTAAATGTTTTAAGAAAATTTTCAAGATTTAAATGTTTGTTACTAGCAGTCAAATTATTTATCTTTGTAATATTCAAGGTTGTGGCTCCGCTGGCTTCGCTTTATTTGTTCTCATCTCAGTTGATTAAAAAGTAAGTTAGTTTAAAGTAAAAAAGATGTTGTTTTCGAGATTGGGTCTGCTGAGGACGAGAGGCACCATGTCCGTCGTTCGTCAGTTTCACATCGACCAACAAGGCAGACCGGGAGCGGTAGGAATTTATTTTCACTGAATGTGAACTTGAGATTTTTCATGTTTTACTAATTATCACTCTATTTTTTCCCTGTAGAATTTGCCTTTTGACATCCACAACAGAAAGAAACTGTTGGCTCTCATGATCGTCTTTTTCGGCTCTGGATTTGGAGCACCTTTCTTCCTTCTGAGACACCAGCTCCTGAAGGATTAAAAATTTAAACTAAAGATTAACTTTCCTAGTTTTTTTAGTTAGTTCAGTTCAATCTTAATTCTTAATGGTTCATTCAAGGTGTCCTGGTTATGACATTAAACTTACCCTCACTGCCTTGTGAGTGATGTTGGATCATCAAAGGCTAGGCCCACCGCTTATAACTGTGGTTGCGTAAGGAAGGGTGCCCTGCGTAAAAATTAGCCAAATAAATTACTTATGATGGAATGGCGTCGAGGGGTATTTCGGTTTCATCATAGGTAGCCAAACGGCAACCCCCGATCTCGGGGAAAATGTCGTCTAAACGTGTGTTGTTGTTGTAATGGTTCATTCAAGTCAAGTTCACCTATCAGCTCAACACCAAAAGCCAATACTTTCACTGTTGAGTTGAAACAAGAAACTTAAAATAAAAATATCTAGTTTTCTTTATTGCATTATTTGTTCTATGTGTTTTTAATTTAATTTTTATATTAATTTTATCTACCTAAATAAAGTCAAATTGTCTACTTTACTCTGATGTCAACTAGTCTAACTCCAAGATCAGCCTACTGACTGACAAGCCTACTACTGTACTATGATAATGTGTAGCATTGTTTAACTCTCAATTTTCAAGAAAACATTTCATCCATTTACTTGTACAGTACGGTGTACACCAGAATTTTTTTTAAATGTCAAATTCAAATTGAAGATGTTTTATCTGCAGTTACAAGCTCTCCTAACCTAATTTGATTCTAATTTAGTTGAAAGCTTAAATTATATTAAGTTTGTTATGGTTAACCATTAATTAAGCAAATGTTAATTTTAATCTTAACTTAGTTTAAAAGTTTTAAACTAACAATGTTAGTTTAAACATAATTTTTTACTATTGTAAGTATGAATGAACTTTTCTAGGTGTAAAGTTTCAAGAGTTTGATTCTTATTTTTAAATTATTTAATAATAGTAGAAACTCAATAAGTTGAAATATTTTAATTAATAAAAATTGTTCCACTATATCTGATTTTTAATTATTATAACGATTAATGTAGAAACAATAAAAATAGTTACTACTTTTAAATTTTTACCAAGCCTAGAATGAACTTGCTAGCTGACTCACTCCATCTCTGTTTCTAATTTATGTTTCCATGTAACATTAAGTTACAATTTTAGCACATTATTCATTAGTAAAATAATCTCTTCAAAATTATTTAACCAATTCACACATTAATTATTAGGACACCTCATTTAAACTATCATTATTATTATTTATGTTGTATTTGATCTATGCCATTGCATTACCATGCTGTATTTTATGACAATTTATTATATTGATTTTATTATATATTATTAAATTATGTTTGGTTTATATTATTGTAATAAATGTTATAATTTTCAGGTGTCGACAATATGTTGCAAACATTCACTTGCCGTAAACAATGAAGACAAGAGTGACAGTGTTTCATTAATGTTTAATTGGAGGACAATGTTATATAATGCATGAATTTTTAAAGTCTGGGTTTATTAAAATTTGATACCCCCTCAATTATGTTTTTTCGTTTAGTGTTTCGCTTTCGACATTGGTCAAAAAAACTGAATCAAATTAAATTATTTAATCATAAATTTTTGAGTGCGGGCTTTGAGCTAATCCGGTTGGCGTGTTATTTTGATTAAGTGAAATTCTTCCACTTTCGAAATATGCATGTGCGTCGTGTGGTGCGGGTCGGCACGACAGCTTAATTTACAACTATAGAATATCATGTATTATAAAGAATATAAAAAAAACCCGGTGTCTGAAGTATTTCAACGTATCAGTTGTACCGAAATATTCATTGCTTTGTTATTTGAAAGATTCAACAGCTTGTGTAATTATTTACAATGATGTTTGCAAAACTTATACGCACGTTACAAATACGCCAGCGAAATAATATAATAACTCAGAGGGTTGAACTTGTGCAGAGTGCCATTCAAGATATTTTAGTATTGAAATGACCCTGCTCTTTTCTTTAAAAACTTTCTGGGGCTGGGATCTGAAGCTGCATCGTCGTCGCACTTTTTATATTATTTCTGCTGAGAACTTCTAAAAATAGCGTACGGATAATGACTGGCCCGCAGAAACTATAGATTGACGATGTATCGTATTCATTTTCACATTTTTATGTTAAGTTTCAATTCCTTTAATACACCATCTGAGATTCTCGTGGCCGAGTAGTTAGCGTGTTCGTCTACTTACTCCCACGACCCGGGTTCCAATCCTGCAGTTTTTGCGGGTTCATCCGGGTAACCTACCCCCGGCCAACCCAGCCGTCTATAAAGATCTTCAGAATTTTAATGATGAATCACTACCGTAAATAAAATGTAAACGCTGCAGTTTGATAATTCATTAATTTATTCATAAAATGGCCCACACTTCTTAAACATTCGACATCTCAACTCCACACTGTTTTAATGTTATCTCACTCACCAAACGTTCCTCGCATATACTTTCATGACGGCATCTTCTTCATCACCTGGATGTCTTCAACCGGAATTGTTTTCTTCCACTAATGATGAAATGGTGAGGAGGGTAATAATGGTAGCAACGAAAATGATGACACTATGATGACATCATTGTTGTCACAAATATTGAATGATGATGATGATGTCAGGTCAGATGTCGTAATGATGAATGAGATGATCCTGATGCTGGTATGGTATATAAATAATTTATTCGTGAAATATTATTAAAACGTTGGGCCATACCACCAAGTTAAAGTTTTCAAGTTTTTTTTATGTCAATAAAAACAAGTCAGTTTCTCATCGACGTGTCTGCTTTAAATTTTTCTAACGAATTTATCTCCACTTGTAATATTACTGTTGTTACTCGCTGGTGCTCTGTTCGAAGTTGTTACTGCTGATTTGGTAGAGAAAGTGTTGTTGTTCTGTTAGGTTATTTTTGTGAAAGCGTTTATGTACTGCCACGTGACGTTTGATGTTAAGTATTACCTATTACCTCAGTAAGTGATATTACATACATTTGTTTATTGTAGGGTAAACAAATTACGGAGAGTTGGAGACACACAATCGTTTGAAGCACGGTATATAGATAACTTTGATACAGAATGTTGCTTATTATTGTTACTTATACAATTGGAACGTGCGCATTTTGTTATGTAATAACCACATGTTTACATCACCAACAACACCAACAACTACTACGACACAGCAACAACAACATGTAAAAAGTATTAAAAAGTGAAAATGTGCATCATCCCAGGTGTGCATACAAAAAATGTACACACACATCAATCAAATAAATTGCGCGTACGCCAATAAAACAATGAACACAGGTGGAAATATAACCAATACACGTGTGTTGTGTTACCCTGCAGCGTTCAGTGTTGTTGTGTCTGTTGTACAATGTTTTTACACACTCCGCAGTCTCAACTCTACAAATAATGTACATTATTCATATATATGTATGTGTGCAAAATATTGTGTACACGCGCGCATGTATGAGTGTGTTTGTGTACAACTTCCATTGTGTATTGTTCCATTGTCGGTTAGTTACAAGTTGGAGTAACGTAACATATGATTTTACGTATTTCGTATTTTCTTGTTTCTCGAGACGCGTTGTTGAATTATTATTTTACTGGTTCACCTGGTTTGGTTACTTTATATGTTGGTTGAGAAGTATTCATGTCAGTATCATTGTTATTGAAAATCTCGTTCGTTGTTAGTTTGTGAAAACATGAACATTTTTTACATAAAATGTTCATTCAATTCAATAACGTCGGTTAATATAAATAACATAACTTCTATTTGTTACATCTAGTATTTAAAAATATTGTTACAACATACAATTGTGTTGTATATTTATAACACATAATTTAGTTTTATAACAACATATAATTGTGTTATATGATAATAAAATGTTAAAAAGCTTGTTGTAATTCAAAACGGAATACTTATTTGTTAAAAATTATGTTTGTTTAACAACCGTTTAACAATTTAACAGTTCTGTAAATGATAAATCGTTTAAGCATTTGCTGATTTCAAAAATTATTAGTGTTGAGAAAACGAAAACATCATCATCACCATCATCATCACCATCATCATCACCATAACAATCGATATTGAAAATATAATAGCAACAGGAAATTACAACAGCAGCGGCAACAATCCGTGTCAACAATAACATCAACCATATCATCAGCATCATACAGATTACAAACATAGACATACGTAGCAGAAGCAAAATTGGCAAACATAACAACGTCGTCGGCAAAGTAACGCTAGCGATAACATCAACGACATCAACGATACCAACGACAGCAGCAACTACAACAACAGAGCAGCCAGCAGTAACCACATCTGCGACAACAACACACAATTACCCCCACTTTACGTACTCAGCTCAGTCAACTTACCATTATTAACTAACTCCACCGTCAGCAAGTTCTTCGAAGCAGGTTGTATATATCAAGTTTCTTACTCAAAAATGTTCTCACATTAATTAATGAATACAACTTGCGACCATTCATTCTGGTAACTTTTCAATTCACGATATTTTTTTCACCCTCATGTACAGGTCTGTTAATTGTTGTTTCTTTTGACGCATTACTGAGAGAGATATCAGCCCAGCAAACTCCCTCACACACCTCCTCATGTGGACAGACGAATTCGAACCGGGTCACTGCAACTTAAGACTAAGCACTTTTACCAACACTACATAATTAATACATGTTGTACAGTCTTCATGTAACAAGCTCATACATTGAGACATGTTGTACAGTCTTGTGCGTGCATCTAGGAAATATTTCATCTTACACTCTCCATTTACTGCTTGAAATTCATATATATATTTTTTTTATTTTTTCAGGATTTTTGTAGGCGATGTAGTTTGAAAAGGTATATAAGCAGCGACCGTTAACAACTTTTCAAATACAAGCGCTATAAATAACTTGAAACGTTTCTATACATTCTTCAAAATGCCTCACAGCTACAAAAAGTTTAATAACATCAACGGCAACAACAACAACAACAACACTAACAACAGCGCTAACCGTCATTTACAAAAAGTCAACACAACCAACAACGACGTCAGCAGCGACAATTATTACTACGGCCCATGCAGATCCAACGACTCTCCAACGACACCTCTACCACCTATGGGCCACGCTTCACGAATGATGCTGCTTAGCAAGGGCATAAAGCCGGAACCTAACTATCTTCTGCTGGGGGAGGTGGAAAAGGAGTTGAGAGCTGTGAAGGAAAAATCAAAATTTGAAAAAACAAAACAAAACGGATTTCACGAACCATCCAACCAGCAACAACAACACAACCAGCAAAGCAAACAGCAACATGATATTCAACAGTTAGATGTTAGTAATTTGTTGAATGAAATGAAAATGTCAAAAAAGTGGCAAAACCTCAATGTCAGTGGAGGCAACAATTTGAACGGCAACGATAACTTCAGCAACGTACCAACTCCAGAAGATGGCAGGCAACTAAATTTGCCCAAAAAACGTCAGGCACCACCAATACCAGTTGATAAAAATAATAGCAACATCAGCAATAATTATAGCAACAGAAATGCAAGCGAATCAAAACTTCAGGCATCGTCTTTAAATGTATCAAGCCCAAATTCACCGTATCAGAACCCTTCAACCAATCTATTCTTATTCCCCAACAACAACGGAAAGAGCGTAACGGTAACAGCATCGACAGCTTCTGACGACATAAGACCACACATGCTCACAACCAGCACAACAGACCTGAGCAGTGCCCAATCCACTTCGGCTAACAGTTTGTTTGACGATTTCAGGAAGGGCAGCAGTTTCAATCTTCTACAAAGTCTTGATGAATATTTGAACGCGGCAGAAGTTGGCAAGTTGCATGCCAGCGAAGGTGCAACTGTTGTTACTCCAAACGAAATTAACAGTTTCAATTACCCTAATAATTATAACAGCAGTAACAATCACAATAATTCTTATAACATTCCTTGGAACAAAAACTTCAAAAATGGAGATGAGTTGAATTCTCATCCATTTACCCCGAGCACAACGAGCAACTATTTACATCATACTGTTCAACCACATGAAGGCAACAAAACTAGCACGCCAATAACTTACCTCATCAAAGACAAAACTAACATCATCTTTGAAAACAACAGCAAACAACAACACCTAGACGAAAACACAGACGTAGATCTTTTGAACTTCAAAACGGACAACGGAATTCCAAAAGAAGATGGTGTGGATGGAATAATGGGAAATTTTGTCTTGAGAAGTAAAAGTAAATTTTCGCTGGATGGCGAGGTTGTTGGAAGTTCTACCATGAATGGAACGGTTAAAGTGAAGCCATCTGATATTAAAAAGCACAGGTTTGTATGTGCTTCATTCTTATTTTGCGTATATTCAATCAACTTCAAGATTAAAATTTATAGCAATAAATATTTCATAAATAAATTTTTTGTTGTATTTAGAATTTGGTTGAATTTGAATCCCGGTTTGAAAGTCAACCAGCAACTGCCTCCCCACAGCGACAGGACAGACGACACCAATATCAACTCTTCAAATCTTAGCTGCTACGACGTGTTGAACGATTCTGGCTTTCACAACAACTACAACGACCACCACAACGGCAACATGGACAGCAACGACTCCGACACAAATTTTCCCAGGTGGTCTGGTTACCCAGCTTCGGGGAAAGTCACAAAAATAACAAACAAGTACCGAAGTAGCTCAGCCACTGAGCTCGGAGTTAGACGAAAAAGTTGGGACAGCAAACTGGCAAACAAGCACACTGATAAGTTCATGAGGGAAACGAAACATTACTGCGGTAGAAATGTGGACATTGAAGTTTGGTGGCTGATCGTCATCATCATGGTCTGCTTCTGCATCGGCTTCATCTGCGGCTTCCTTCCGGGATGGTTCACACGCAAATGTTGATCGGATTTTTGGAGCGCGCGTACACGTACATGCGAATCGATTGAGAATGCGGACGCTTCTTAAGAAGTTTCTACCTTTTGTTTGTCGGGAGAACACAAGCAAATCTTTTGAAATTTATTTGTTGATCAATTAAACGATATTTTACAAACTAATATTTCACAGGTAAAATTCAGGAACTCCTCACGTTTTAAATAAAAAATCGCCTTGTAGTGTAATCGGACTATAACAATTACTCAACCGGTCGTTCACACAACAGTACAATTTTTATTTATTTCTTCAAACTTTATTACGATTGTGGTGAATATGCTTTATTTGTGAAAATTTGAGTTTTTTTGTAACTGATAAAAAAAAAACATCTAGCATACTGCGGCACACGGCGATTGAAGAGACAAAAACGGAGCATGAAGGAAAAACTTTCAAGGCATTCCTAATTCATTTCAAATCTTCGTCTATATCAGCAATTACATAACGGACGACTGTCGCGATCTAACATCAAAAACTAGCTGAAAATTCCAAACAGATCCAACAATTTAAACTCCCAACAGAAAACATTTAAATACAAATGAAATTTTATCCACAAACAATCCATTCAGTTGCAGAAAAATTAAATATAAATAAATGATCCCACATAAGTTTATTAATAATTTTCAAAATGAATTCATGAATTTTATACATTTTCAATTTACATAATAGTAGCATATAAAAAAATCAAACCAAAAATAAACGATAATGATAATAATAAAGTAACATAAACAATAATGAAAAAAAAACCATTTGCAGCCGCTCAAATAGCCACGTAAGAACCAGAAAAGAGCAGAAATAATTATAACAAACAGGAATACTAATAGCAATAAATTACGAAGAAGCTGCGTGCGTTTCATTTTTATCGGCGTTAATATTGTTGTTGATTATGTCACTAACAACATGTTGATGTTGTTGTTGTTGCAACGACTCGCCAGAGTTAACGTAATTATTAAGTAGCAAATCTCTTTGCTGTTGTTGTAGTAATAGTTGATTACCGTCAAGAGGAGCTGTAGCCATATTTAGACCACCAATATTGCCGCCACTGTTACTACTCAACTTCAACCTTTCCAGCAAATCCGAAGGGATCAAAAACTGCTGTTGTTGTTGTTGGTCGCTTGACAGGGTGGGGTTGTATGAAGGGAATGACATGTTGACACCTGGGTAAGATGGAAACTTCATGTTTGGAAGTCCTGCATGTCAGAGTGACGTACGATTATTACTACTTTAAATTATAGTATTTTAGCAGTAAGCTTATTCTCACTCAACCACAAAGAAAAATAAAATAAAAATCTATTAATGAGAAGTAACATCGCATTCACATTGTTTAAATTTTATATGAAATTTCATCTTATTTTAATTACGTTTCAAAATTAAAAAATCCATCATCTGCAATGCTTACAAACAAAAGACATAAGAAAACACAAACCAGCCAGGGCACCAGAACTCGCTGGGTCAATGCTGCCAGCGTGACCAGAGAAAGCAACAGTGGCAGGTGTCGTTGTTGTTGACTGAAGATTAGGCAACGTGTAGGAGAAGTTTGCTGTCAAAGTAGTTGGATCAAATTAAATTGTTTGTTAGCCAACGAGATCACTATGGCATAGAGTGGAATGTACTAAACAATATAAAAACATAAAAGCTGGAGTATACTTGAACTGCGTGAAAAAAAAACAAAAAATGGTAAAATGACTAACACCAAACAAAGACAATTTCTATTTAATTTAAGAGATAAAAATAACAAATGGCACTTTTGCATAAAAGACCAGAGATGCAGCAAACATACAAAAATCAGACAGACAAAAAACACATACAAAAACAAAAAAACGAGCTCAAACAGAATGAAAGAAGAAAAATAAACACACATCTAAAATAGAAACAACTCCCAATAGAAAAAAAAAATTCATAAACACACAGTAGAACAAACTATTTTAAAAAATAAAATGATAAAAATAGAGAGTAAAATGGAATGTAATACGTTTGAATCCTGCTGGTAAGCTGGTGGGGAAAGCAGTGGTGGTGGGCAATCCAGCAGTGGACAATCCAGGAGTTGGAGCACTGTTCAGGAGGTTCTGCAGATGTTGCTGAAAATCTGTGCAAATGCATTATATCCGTTAAATATTTATCAACCGTTTCAATTCAATTTGCATTTAATTTTGCAGCATCTTTCTTTCATTTGAACCTTGAATTTTGTTGAAAAATCCTAAATAAAAATGCAACTACTCGATTTTATACCATAAATGAATAGAATAATCATCAAAGTGAATAACATTTTTTGTATCCTTAGAGGAATAAGATTCTGACAGACACAGAATCCATTACAACATGCAATAAAATAATAGGTCACGTACACACGTACATACAGGTTGACAATAATGGCATGGTGACAGCATGTACAAACCTCCGGACTTGTACAACTGATCAACTTGTGATGCAAGGGCAGGATTGCCGAACGTGGATGGCACGTAGGCTGGTGTCGGAGCTGATAAGGAAACCTATTACCATCAAGTCAATTAATTATCACATGATATATCATAATAATTTTATAACAATAAATTAGGCCTACAGTTCAAAAATTAAAATCATATTTTTCTACTTTAAATTTATTCAAAGATTTAAAAAAGAGCATTTAGCCACAATTACATAGTCTATAATCAATTATCAAACCATAAAAGAAATGCTGTAACTCCAATAATGATGATTCAACTTCAATCAAACAATTAAGTAACTTAATAGGTTTAATACAGATAGATGTAAGCAGATTAACGAATGCATACGCAACTAACATCTGAGAAGCCTGTAGATGGTGACGATGTAGTTGTGGCATTTGATGTACTGACGTTTGCCACTTGAGGCGGATGTGCAGTTGAGGATTTCTCACCATCAATTTTGAGGCCTTGCAACTCACTGCTGGGTGCTTTAACTGGAATTCGGTGGAGATAACCATAGCCTATACCACAACCAAGACTGTTTGAAAAATTAATGCTATTGATATAAAAATATTTTGAAATATAAAAAAAATAAGCTCACATATATAATAATCACTAACAATCACTACAACTCAAAACGTTTATCGATAAAAATAGAATAATTACACACATTATCATTTTCACATGTGAGGCATGTCCATCAAATACAACAATCTCAATCAAAATTCTTAATATCTATACATTTCCTTTACACGTGAACCACATTTAACTGGTTCAAATCTAGAAACTTAACATTTTTTACTTCTAATCTGACACAACTTCCACGTACCTTCCAGCTCCACCCCACGCACTGTTGGGAGTGATGGTGATCTCCCTGCATGAATCCAGTTCACAGTTGTACACGTACAACTTTAGTGGTCGAGCTTCGTGCGATTCTATCAACGAGAACAAGTCTTCCGACTGGTTAACACATGAAAGTATTAGACAACAATTTTAAAAATACAAATACCAACAAATACCAGTCATGCAAAAAATTAAAATTATTAATAATATAAAGTTGTATTTAAAAATGAGAGAGTGAAGACCTCTTGTAGAATGGTGTCGGACCCAATGATGTAGTCGACATCTGATTTCAAGCCGGCGTGGAAAGCAGGAGAGTTGGGCTGGACTTCCTGTGGGCCAAGTTTCAATAAGCATTCACATCAATATTCAACATTCTGCTGAGAGGTCAAAATTAGATCGTTAAGAAAAGGGCCAAACAAATTTTAGCAAAAATGATGAAAAATTAACTTACAAGAACATGCCAGACATTTTCGTTAGCGCCATCAAATGAACAAAACCTAAGAGATCAATCAAATAAAAATTTACATCAGAGACTTTTTGACTGTAAATTTAGACAATAGAGGCTATTTTAATTTGTAACTAATACAATTGAATTTCTAAAACAGACAATTAATTTTAAATATAGTAAGAAATGATTGACAAAAAACCTGATGGACACCCCCAGAAGACCCTGACCGCCCCACTGGTGACTGGGTACCAACTCGAGTTCTCGCAATTGACCAGTCTTGCTACTGTACACAAGCATCTTGACTGGTTTGTCGATGTTGGCCTTTAGCAAATCTTTCAGAAGTTCATTGTCTTGATTCTAAAGTGAAATATTTATTTGGACATTATAAAATTAATATAAAATACAATTTGTTTTCATTAAATTTCATTTATTATATATAAGAAAATTAACATTGACAAAAATCTTTTTATTTCAGTTGAAATATATATAAAAATTCAAAATCAAAGTCAAGAATTGAGAATTTATTTGTATCAAAGTGATTATTTACAATTATTATAAATATGTGACACTTTTAAACTCGAGAATCTACTCTTTTTAATATTATTATTACTAGTATTAATTAAAGTTAAATTCTGCTTCATCATTATTAAATATAATAATTTTTAAACTATTTCAAAGTTATTAATGATAAAATAAACAGTTTAATTAAAAACTAAACAAAATAATAGGCATAGATTAGACTGACATAAAATAAAAAAAGCGTGATAATGTACTAGGAAAATTATGAATTATTTTGAAATAACCACTAAATAAGTTTTTATACCTCTTTAGCTTTACAGAATGGTAATCACATTTTATTTCTATAGTTTTAAAAGCATCATCAAAGGAAAGCCGTTCTATGTCTCATATCTTTTTAACATCATTAGTTATACGCTGAGCTGGTTAAAATGCACACAGTCTGTTTATAAGCTATAAACTCTTATACATACATACATACATACATACATACACACACACACACACACACACATATATATATATATATATATGGAAATAATCCAAAACGCATACACACATTCATATATATATATATATATATAAAATATATATATATATATATATATATATATATATATATATATGATGCATTGCATAAATATATGATGCATTGTTATAGAAAGTTGCTGGGAATCAGTTGGAGATAAAAGATAAGAAACAATGCCATAAGAAAACAACTTGGAAGACAAAAAACTGTGTATGAAAGTGTCAAGGAAAGAAAGCTGGGTATTTTTGGGCACATCTGCAGAATGACAGACGACAGACTGATCAAAAAAGTACTGATGAGAAAGAGGGACTGGAAGAAAAAAGTTGGAAGACCTGTGAGGAAGTGGATGGATGATATCACGGAATGAACGGGGGTTGGAACATTGAGCTCAATGAAGATGGCGAGGGAAAGAAAAGGATTTTGGAGAGATAGAAGAATACCATCTGCCTCAACGGTCCCTTAAGGGATTACAGAGGATCATTGAATGAATGAATGAATATATATATATATATATATATATATCCAAGACACATATCATACACGCTATAATCCAACTTTATAGTCTACAGCAAGCTTCTTTTAAAAATAAAATTTCAGTCAGTCAAAAAAAAAGTTTCATATATAAATATTTATTTATATTACAAAACAAACATCATTATACATTGTATTATAAGCATAATGTACATTTACATTACAAACACTATCCTTAGCCTAAAAACTAAATAAATGTTTACTATTAAAATTTAATAGTATTAAATTAAAATTAAATACTATTAATAAAAATAAAAAAAGTCAAAAAAAAGAAATTTTGCCAAGATGCAAACACAAACAATTGTCAGCCAACCAATATCATCATCAACAACCTAAAAAAAATTAAAAACTGAAAAAAACAAAACAGATCATTTCAATTATTTTATCTATCAAGTAATTAATATTAAATTATAGAAAAATACTGAAAATAATCACGATACCAATCTGGTATTTCCAATGCACAAGATGAAATCAAAAAATGCTTCCAGGCCGGACTTCTGGCCAGGAGAATTTTCCTGAACCTGCCATGGAAAAAAATGATCAGATCACAAGAGACCACCAATTACATATGACACCTCAAGATCTAGATAAAAACAATTTACAAACTCTTAATACGTGATAGCCCTCTGTGCCTCCACCAGGGACTTGCGTGCTTTGTGATCCGCCCATAATTTCAAGTTAAATTACAGTAAAAAATCATCTAAATGTACAAAACAACTACACCACCAAACAAGAAAAAACTTTCAAATTAAACAAAATGGTAGTTACGTGGCAAATGGTGATGCGTTAACTTAGCAAAAAGTATTTTTCAGACCATTTTTTTATTTTTGTTCGTTTTTCTGTAAAACTAGTATTAATATTAATATTTACTAATAATATTAAATGGTAATTAAAAATATTAAATATTTAATTGTTATCAATTTTTTTGACTAAATTAAAAAACGAATAACAACTAAATTTTGATTTTCTAATTTTTGTGTATATCAATTTAACATAGCTCATTGGAAAATATTAAAATACCCCAAAATAAAATAAATGAAACAAAATATTGATTAGCTGATTTAAATGACTTTTTGGGCGTGTTTTATTTGCCTACTTTGTGTTGTGTCAATCAAATGCCCTTTGACCGGCCTACTTTCCCCTCCCACATTTTGATATTGTAAATGTATTTGCATCGAAATCTTGAATATTTGTATACCGATTTAAATAAAATTCCGTTATTTGATCAAATATGACTTCAAAACTAACATTTAATGCCACAAAACGCTTTTAATACCATAAAAAGGATTGGCTTAAAGCGTATGAATACGTTGTGGTAGGCCTTTACAACGCCATTTTCCCTGCCCATTTTCATTCTTATTTATTTTTGAAATTGTTAGATGGATTTATTTTGAATAATTTAATGTAAAATGTCAACCGAACCAAATAAAAAGCAATCTAAAAAAGATTATGTAAATTCTTTTAAATCATCAAAAGTGAGTTTCGCTTTTTTTTTTACCATAATATAATATTTTCGATAGCCAATAATTTCTGTTTGCGTTGTTTACAATGTTTTTTATGGGAGTTGATTTTTTAATTGACCCCTCCCTTTTATCATTTTTCAGGATGCCAAGCCGTCCCCATTGGCCTTGTTGGCAGCCACCTGCAGCAAGATTGGGAATGGTGTGGATGGGGATGCGGGCCAGCAACTACCCATTCGGGTTCAAATAGGATCCAACGTAATATCTATGAACGATTTTCTAAGCAATCCGTCGTTAGTTCAACAACTGGCTGCCCAATCGAACGGTACTCTTGTGCCCCAGATTAATCAGGCGAGCGCTGTACCCGGTTTTATAGATCTTTCTTCCCAACAAAAAATTCAAAATCCTGTTCAAATAATTACACAAAGCCAAGCTAATACGTTTGGCTCACCATTTATGGCTCCTGGTGCTCAAATGATTGCAACTCCGGTGGCTGGTCCTGGTGGCACTATCACATACAATCTCATTCCTCAGTACCCCAATATGATCATGATCAGTCAAGATGGCACACAGCAAGAGCAACAGAATCAACAGTTTGTTCAAAACATTGTTGCCGGTAACCAGAACCAACAGCAAACAACTACCTTGATCACAAACGCTAACAAAAATCAACAGCCACAACTACAAATTCAGCAGCAGCAGCAATCACAACAGCAGCTAACACAAACACAGCATTCTCAGTTAACCATAAATCCATCAAATGATTCTTCGAACATTCAGAAAGTAATCAGCAGTAACAACAGTGGGATGGTCATTAAGCAGCAGGGTGTACAGGTGATTAAACCATTTGCTACTTAGCTCAATTTTTATTTAATATTTAATATTTTTTATTTTTTTTGTTTTTTGTATATGGACGTTTGTTAACACAAATGTAAGCACACTCAGGTGTCAAGCATCTAATTAGTTTTCAAAGTAAATACTTAATCGTTATGTGTACCTATATTATATATGGTGCTGCATTAATTATATAATGCATAAATTAAAACATGAAATTCCACGATTTGCTGATAAAACAAGAATCTAGTGACAAACATGAATTTCTTTCCAATCAGAGCAACCAGATGCCACCAACAATTTCCTTGCAAGTGCCTCTCTCAACTGACAGCAATGGACACACAGTCATGCAGACCATACAGGTTAGATTATGTTAAATTATTTTAAACCGAAATTTCAAATATATCCAAGGGGAGATTTTCCTTAATGCAGAATTAGCTACAACAACATGCATTTCATTAACAAATGTTTGCATGCCTAAAAAGTTAAGGTTTTTTTAAGATTTAGATACTGCATATATCACCTCATCAGTTTTTAATTTATAGTTTATTATTTGGCTGGAATGTTATGCTCTTTTTTTCCCAGTTTCAAAATCATGAATTATATCCATACCTCATTTTTCAATCATGCTCTGTTCATTGACTCAAGTTTTCAATTTATGTGTCATAATGATGAGCGAAATTAAAAATGTTTAGATAACTTTAAATTGTTCCAATTAAACCTTTGTTAGAAATGTTATTTATTAAAAGTTAAAAACCAGCTTATACTGAAATACACCAGCTACCTGTGCAACTTCTTCAGAACCAGCAAGCACAAAGTGGCCCCACAATCAACCAGCCAATCACATTATACACTTCACCGAACAGTCAACAGCAAAGAAATGATCAGGTCATCAAGGTTATCTTTCATTCATTCATTCCATTCATTCATTCGTTTTTTCATTCATTCATTCCATTCATTCGTATTCATTCATTGTTTCAAAATTAGTTCTCGATATAAAATATGTTCACAATAAATTGCTATCATTTTGTAAACAGTATTTGTTGCTACAAAACAGGTTGCACAGCAGCAGCAACAGCAGCAGCAACAACAACAGCAACCTGCTGCAACAATATTGAACATGGCAAATTTTACACAGAATAATAATCAATCTCCGATTGCCATGTTGGTGACGCTTCCAAATGGCCAGACGAGTTACGTCATCGGTCAGCCAAACAACAACAATAACCAGCCTATGCTTTCAATTGCTCCTCAGCAAGTCCAACATCAGGTTGTTGTTGTTGGTGATGTTGATGTTGGTGATGTGATGTTTGTGAGGTTCATATCTGTTGAAATGTAAATGTTGTTTTTCCAGTATTTTATAATAATTGTAATAATAATATTAGTAATAATTAATATTAATGGCAATAGTAATAATAATAATATGCTTGTTGTTGGAATGTTTCTATGGAATGTTGCTATTCATAGTTAATGCTGATTAGCCAGAATTTTAATTATTTGAATGTAGGTGTGTATTATGTTCTCATGTGGTTTGAAATAGTTTTCACATGATGTAATATGTCACAAAGTAGAAAATAGTTTTTGTTTTAATTTAATTTAAAAGTGTTTTTAGTTTTTATTCAAAAGAATTATTCTCCTTGAAATTGTTATAAACAAGTGATTTTGAACAACATCAGTCAATAATGACCATGCACATGAAACCAACCAACCGAACAGATCCAGAACATTATGTTACCGAATGGTCAGGTGGTCCAAGCAGTCATGGCCACTGGCTGTCCCTCATCTCAACTGATGCAACAAAATGCCTGCTGGAATCCCACTGTCCCTCCTCCCACCGCTATTCAAATACAGGTTGGTTTTCATAGATAACTTTCCATTAAAATTTCAGCTCTGCCAAAGTTTTAGTTTATCTTTCTACATTTTTATCATTTATATTTTTGATATTGTATTGTTTATTTTTGACTCACTAAAATGTTAATGTTTTTTACTTGTTATTTTTTTTGTCGAGATGTTTACTGTCAAATTTTTTAAATGTTTTGTATCGTCAACGTCTCACCGCCACACAACAAACAGAACAATGGCAGCATACAGACCATACCAGATCTCCAATGTCTCGGCCTTCAGAATCAACTCCTTTTGGCTAATGGACAAAACGGTCTCATCCAATTACAATCCCCAAACAACTCGATAGTTACCGTTGCCATGCAGTCTCCCAATCAGAACAATTTGGCTGCTGCAAATGGAGCCAATCCTATGGCTATATGTAAGTTGTACAGTACAGACATCATATACCTACACATAGTATATATTATCACGTACATATACGCCACATACAAACACACAACTTGTGTACGCACTATTCAAAACATACACAGTGGTACGCAAGAACCCAAATGGTACCCTGACGTACGGGGACTACATCACCATTGTACCCCAGGATCAGGAGGGTTTGCACATGGAGGCCTCTCTCAACAACGGCAACAACTCCAGCATCAACAATAGCAACGGTGGAAACAGTGGTGATGGCAAGAGGAGTAAGAGAGTTGCCTGTACATGTCCTTATTGTAGAGATCCCAGTCGGAAGTTAGTGTGCATGTTGTTGTTGTTGTTGTTGCTGCTGCTGTTGTTGTTGATGTTGTTGTTGTTGATGATGAGGTGAGGGTCATGAAGATTGAATAGGATGATGATAATTATTATGGTGATGTGATTAAAGCATTTATACATATCATTTTGATGCTGTAAAGTTTATCAGAAATGTGATTTGGAAACGAATTACTGATAATAAAAGTAAAATATTGCTAATAACAATAACAACACCACGAACAACATTGTCAACTATTACTTCAACAACAACAGAAACAACGGCATGAAGAAGAGCCACATCTGTCACATAGAGGGTTGTGGTAAAATTTATGGCAAGACATCACATCTTCGGGCACACCTGAGGTTAGTCACATTCCCACCTACCTACATCTTTGATTGTTTGCTCTGTGTGGTGTGGCGTGATGATCATCTTTGTAATGGATGATGGCGATGATGATGATGAGAAGAGTGATGTGGTTTATGGTTATTCATGACACTGGAAAAGAGAAATGGAAGCGAAGATGGTTGGTTGGTTTTGTCGATGGTATATTTTTAAGACTGTCAATAACACATAGGATGGTAATAATTATTGAGGATTCAATTTTACTGATGAAAGTTAGTGTAGTGGTGAGAGTAGTTAGTGGTACGAGCAGTTTAGTACGAGTAGTTAGTGGTACGAGCAGTTTAGTACGAGTAGTTAGTGGTATGAGTAGCAGGTGATGATGTTGATTATTCTAGGTGGCACATGGGTGAACGACCATTCACGTGTAACTGGATCTACTGTGGTAAGAAGTTCACGAGGTCTGATGAACTGCAGAGGCATAAGAGGACTCATACAGGTTTGTGTTTGTTTATGTCTGTACTTCTTCTTCTTGTTCTTGTACGTACTAACATGCATGTTTATGTATGTGTGTAGGTGTTGATGTGTTTGATGGTTTGTATAAGATCGGTGGGAAAATAGTGTCGGTTTTGCATTACGTAATTTTTTGACAAAAAGTTTTTAAATTAATTTCATTAGGTATATTGACAATTATACATAATTGTAAAGGTATTTTATACCTGAATCTCGCTTACACAAATCGACATTAATTTTGCACCAATGCCTGATTTGATTTTCAGTTGTTTGTTGTGTGTTTGAATTCTTATTTTGCATGTGTATGTTTGAACGCATTAAAGAATGTGTGCAAGTGCAAGAATATGTGCAAGACTTGACTGTTTTTGTAGTTGTTTTGTTATAGTAGGGATAATAATGTAGATAACGACGATGATTTTAATGATCAGGTGAGAAGAAGTTTCTATGTCAGCAGTGTGATAAGAGATTCATGCGTAGTGACCATCTGGCCAAGCACATGAAGACCCACAAGAAGTTGAACGGTGGTTCCCTGGACGCTAGCAACAATAATGGTGATGCCCTACTCAATCTTTCCACCAACGACATCCACATTACTCAGAACGACGATGGTGACGACGACGACGACGAAGAGGCAGCTGGCGCCGACGACGACAACCACATGACTGATAACATTGAGGCTGATGAAGACGACGACGACGACGACGATGATGATAACGATGAAGAGAGAATGAAGATGATGGCAGGTCATCATGCACAGAATGGAGATGAAGAGGAGGATGATGATGACGATAATTCTACGGACGATGATGACGTCGAGAACGATATGGAAACCAGCACGACCGATGAAAATAAAATTTCTTTATCGTCGTCATCATCAGCCTCGATGAGTACCAAAGATAATAAAATTCTCCAATCTAATAAACTTTTTATAAAAAATAATTGCAACGAACAGACAGTCTTGCTGCAGAGACAGCCAATCATGTTTTTTGACAAGGAGGGTCCTGTGCAAGTTCTCGATGGTACTAATGCTGATTGATTGATTGTCTGGTTGATTGATTGATTGTTTTATTGATTGATAGATCGGTTGTCTTGTTGATCGATCAATTGATTGACTAATTTTTTGGTTGATTGTTTGATTAGTTGGTTAGTTGATTTATTGATCGATCAATTGATTGATTGATTGATTGGTTGGTTAGTTGGTTGGTTGATTGATTGATTGATCAGGCAATTGATTGGCTGGTTGATTGATTGATTGTTTTATTGATTGATAGATCGGTTGTCTTGTTGATCGATCGATTGATTGACTAATTTTTTGGTTGATTGTTTGATTAGTTGGTTAGTTGATTTATTGATTGATCGATCGATCGATTGATTGGTTGGTTAGTTGGTTGGTTGATTGATTGATTGATCAGGCAATTGATTGGTTGATTGATTGATTGATTGATTGTTTTATTGATTGATAGATCGGTTGTCTTGTTGATCGATCGATTGATTGACTAATTTTTTGACTGATTGTTTGATTAGTTGGTTAGTTGATTTATTGATCGATCGATTGATTGATTAATTGGTTGGTTAGTTGGTTGGTTGATTGATTGATTGATCAGGCAATTGATTGATTGGTTGATTGATTTAGTTATTGAGTGATCGGTTGATTAGTTTGGTTGAAGATCTGATGATCTATTGGTTGATTGTTTTTCAAATTAACTGGTTGGCTTACTGAATATAATTTGAAGCTAATTGTTATTGGCTTGGGTGGAATTATAGATGGATCGTCTGGATGGCTATATAATATGACCCATAGTTTGTAACATTGTTTCGTGTAAACACATTGAAAGTAATTTTGTACAGAACCGTGTCATTATATTTGTTTATAAACAAGTTCACGTTCGTGTCTGTGTGTGTGTTTGTGTTTATGTTCTCGGTATGTGTTGTATAATATCGTGCGTAGTTTTATACCGTGTGTATGTTGTGCGCGTGTTATATACACACATTTTTTTATTCATCACCTAAGCCAGTCTGTTAGACGAAGTATTTAAAATTATTATTTTTGTATCTCTTTTTTAAGTATATTTTTTCATTAATTATGTCATTTTTTAGAGGGTGGATCGATTAATTAATCAACTAATTAATTAATTAATTAATAATTAATTAATAGTTCTTATAACTCATGTTAAATTTTGAATTCTATTTTTTTAATGATTTAGTTGAACGCGTTATAAAATAATGTGCTGTTAAATTTATCTCTTTCATGTGCATTTTTGTATATATCTATATATGTCTATGTGTATGTATGCGTATGTGTATGTGTATATATATATGTATATATATGCTTGTGTGTGTGCGTGTATATATGTGTATATATGTATGTGTATGTGTGCGTAAACATTTTGTTAAAGAGCTGGTGATTTATGTTTTTTATTTGATAACCACATTTACCATCGTCGTCATCGTTACCACCGTCACCGTCATTTTCATATTTTGAAAATTCAAATTTTAAGTTCAGTTAAATAAAGAGCTCAACATAGGTAGCCTATTCTGCTTCATTTCTTCATTCGTATATTAATAAATAGTGAAACAGACTAATAAAAATAGAACAAAATTTATGTATAAAATGTTCAACGCTGATTGAAACTTAACTGCAAGAATGAAACTATACAATAGTCCGAATTATCAAATATGTTAAACAATTCATAAAACAATCCTACAATCCATTTAAACTACGTCAAGAAATTTATTGGATGAAGCATATGGTCAAACACACTAACGTAAAGAAAAAATTTAAACAACAAACATAGAACACGCAAACAAAGAAAGGAAAAAAAATAAACCCCAGTAAACAAACAAACACACAAGCACATAAAACGAGAATACATGATAAAAAAGCTCACAATTAATGAATAAGCATCTTTATTACCCCTAGTTGATGGTGTCACCTGATTGCATAATAACGACAACGCAATAATACTCTTTGTATATAGGCAAGCTCGAACTTGATGAATGAATGGATGAATGAGTGAACGAATGAATGAGTGAGTGAAGTGAGTGAGTGAGTGAATGGATGAACGATTGGGTGAATAACTGAATAAGTCAATAGATAATAATTGAATGTACGTGTGAATAAATGAGTAAAACTTAAAAAGTGGATGAATTGGAAGAATGGGAGATGCAGATGCAGTATAAGTATTTTGTGTGGATGAATGAATGAATGATTGAATGAATGAATGATTGAATGAATGATTGAATGAATGTATATTTAAATGAATAAAAAAAGAACGAATGAATAAATAAATAAAAAAATTAATGTATGAATAAACGACTTTTGGAGAATGACATTGCTGGTAGTGCAGCTAGTTCTCATTCAAACTGAAATGTCACTCTTTTTTCTGCGTTGGTGTATGGCTTTGCTGTAAGTAGCTAGATGACTTTGTCGTTTCGCCACAAATTAAGTGGTCGCGTTTTGTTTTTCTTGGTGTTGAAAGTTTAATTCATCGTGGAAGAAGTCTTTACGTCTCTGGGAGATCAGAAAGTTACGATCAACACTTACAGATGTTTCTACATAAGCATTCAGCTAGATTGAGATTGAGTTATCAACCATGGAGGGACCGATGGACTACAATCAATCGGAGTCTTGTACTGAAAACTTTGAAACCACCCGCACATTTGAATTTTATAGTTAATAAAAGTTTGTTGCTAGTGCGGGCAGTTGCGGTGCGGAAAAATCTTGTCCGCTGTTTCTGACTGAGTAACAACTTAATTCTTAAAAACGATGGAAATTCGTTAAGATGAGATCATTTCTGAATAATATTAATTATTTACACACACGCATGCGCGCACGCACGCACTCAACACTACACACACACACACACACACAACACACGCACATAACGTAAGATTGAATGAGTTGATGAAAGACTAGGTCGATATTGATCAGCAGTGGAACGATTTACAGAAGTGGAGATATCAGAGTGGTCAGTTAATATTGCGCAATTAATATTTTCATTATTTATTTGCCGTTATAACTAACTACCTGTTATTGTTATTATTCTTGTCATTGTTGTTGTTGTTATTGTCGTCGCCGCTTTATTCATTTTGATACTATACAAGTAACACACACACACATATAGAGTATAAATAGAAGAGGGCCAAGGATAGAACCCTGAGGTACCCCGAAAGTAAGAGTAGAGGAGTTAGAAGTAGAATTATTGAGAACAACAGAAGAAAAACGATTACAGAGATAAGAAGAAAACCAAGATAGACAAGAATCAGTAATGTTAAAAGAGAAATGTAGCAGTCAATTAGATTTCGAGATTTCAAAATTTTGTTACTTTAGCTCTGCCTCAGCACGCTTTTAACAACATTTTCATTATATGGGTTTACAGGCTTCCTTGATTGGATATAAGTTAATCTGAAAACAGGTCAGTGAGAATCAATGATTGTTTAAATTTTTTTATTAAAATAACCATAAACTGTCAGGTTCCACAATTTAAGAAATTTATATAGAAATATGAAAAATTGCAGTTATGTGTATGTAACTCGGAAGTAAGTTCAAGCTTGGAGAACTAGGATATTAAGACAATTAATTGTGTTATGTGTTGTTGTGTTATGTTATATAAACTAACATTTAAAAAGTTAATCAATTACTCCAAAGCTTATCGTTGATCCAATTATCGTTAATAATTGCGCAATATTAACTGACCACTCTGATATCTCCACTTCTGTAAATCGTTCCACTGCTGATCAATATCGACCTAGTCTTTCATCAACTCATTCAATCTTACGTTATGTGCGTGTGTTGTGTGTGTGTGTGTGTGTGTAGTGTTGAGTGCGTGCGTGCGCGCATGCGTGTGTGTAAATAATTAATATTAAATAGGAATTAAACTAATTCTGGCACCTGCCTGCCAAGGTTGGTCTTAAATTGTTTCTTACAAATGACACTGATGAAGATGAACCAAAAATTTTAAACCGCACAGTCACAGACTTCAATTTTTTGTAATGCTTGAGAATTTTTAAAAATTTTCTATCATGGAAAAACGTAGCAAATTTAACGGCTGAAACTTTCTGGCAGTGCTTGACTTTTTGGGCCATACACCTGCAGAAGTTTTAAAAATAAAAAAATTTAAATAAATGTATCTTTATTTGTTTAAAAATGCTAGAATTTTGTACGTCATGTGCCTGCTAACGTAGATTTAAAATGCGTCTTAAGAAAGAGAATGACGCATACAGACATGTAAGCAGACAAGCAGGCATCATAAAAGAAACATGCGAGACATGCACTCGTCCTCCTTGTTTTGGTTTATGTTGCATCGATGTACACTCGCACACACGCGCACGTACACACAATTTGAAGGCCAGGGCTGCACGCATTTGTGTACGCAGTTTTTGTTTGATGTATGAGAGGAATTGTACGCGTGTGTACAAATAAACAGCGTACACCCGTATGTCATTATGTATCTAATATGAATTAATATCATCATTAATTTGTGCCTCTTCTATATAATGTGCATGATTGCT